CACAGGGTAGATAGGGATGGGCAACTTAGACATTGGCTACCTAAAATGAGGGGGAAATAAAGGCACGAAGTGACTGGCTTACAAGGTTTCAAGAAGGAGTTTAGTTTAAGAGTATGGGGGAAAAGAAAGAGTCCCCACTGAATTGCTGTCATCTGTCTAGAGGGGTCTGGTGAAAAGAGATGGGGATAAGATTCGTATGATTCAATAGTGAAAAATAGTTATATTATGACTAATTGCGACTGTCACAATTGTAAAGATAGAAGTTTTGTAACTAAAACAGCGGAGTAGTTAATCTTACAGTCCAGAAACAGAGGACCCTAGGTCCATCGAGAGAGAAGCGCACAAGCAGAGTGCGGGACCTTATCCAGAGAAGCAGCAGCACCAGAGATGGAGGCAGAGATGGGGTAATGGAGAGGTGGAGCGGCTGAGGACTCTAGATTCATGATAAGAGAGTGACTAATGCTGGTGGCCAGGAGGCTGACTTGCAGAATGTGCCCTTTAGAGGTATAAATTATTATAAAAAGCTATAGTGAATAGAGAGAAATACTGTTAACTGATGGTGCATGGAGGGGATTATAACCATTGTAATGAAACAAGGTGTATGATTTGTTGAATGTAAAACTGATTATCTGCCCTGTAAACTTTCACTCAATCCACAAGAAAAACCTGATATTAAAAAAAAAAAAAAAAAAAAGAAGTGCAATGTAATGTTAATGTGACAACTGTTTTTTTCTTTTTGGTTGTTGTTTTTAAAATTGGTTTCTCACATTCTCACGTGTACTCACTTCTCTGTAACTTAACTTTGCAGGCCATGACTGTAGCACTGACCTTTTATGACCTTGTGGTTCATTTACTCAGATTAACAGATGCTGATTCAGGGCCCCGCCCTGCATCCAGGTCAGCTGTGGCCACCAGGGCTTCCTTTGGTGGGCGTGGTCTGTGCAGGTTCTCTAAGAAGACAGTGTGAGAAGGAAATGACTGTCTTCTGCATCCCAGGGTCAGAAGGAATGGAAAGTCAGAGACCACATAGCCCTTGCGTTCACACCAGGTCTACAGCTGGTATTGTATCACTATGTGAATCACCTCACCAACATGGGTCCTGCTCTCAAGGACCCCAGTCTCTTGGTGACACACGCAAATCCCAACAGAGAAACATACAAGGAGAAAGCAGAAGCTAGAGTCCTATTTACAATTAAAAGAACAATAATATATCCCCTTTCTGACAAATTTTACAGAAGTTTAAATGTATGCTTATATTATTATCCTCCTCATTGCAATACCGTTGTGTGTGAGGAGTCCTTGGGAGACATGACCCAGTGACACACACAATTAATTCCATAAAGTGACAGAAAAAACATAATGGCACAAATCCCTTTGAACAAGATACATATTAAATGACAATCTTTTAAATTTGTTCTTTAATCAGTTGTCCTTTTGTTAGCAATAATCACTTTTCTAATGTTAAACCAACTTTGCCTTCTTAGCTAACTCAGTAGGATAGTTAAATAGCACCTAGTTTATACACTGTTGGATCTGCTCTACTAAATTTTTGGTTAGGACTTTGCATCTGTGTTCACAGTGAGGTTGGTCGGTGACTTTCCTTTATTTAATCACAAAGGATACATGCTGAAATAATGACAGCTCAAGTGTCATACTGCCTGTTTCAAAGGGTTCAGGAAAAAAGTTTACAAAGCAAATGTGCCACAATGTCAGCAGTCAATCTTGATGGTTGGTATATACGTGTGCACTTTACTCTGAAACACTTTCTGGAGGCTTAACCATTTTCTAAATAAAACCCGGGGAAAATTATAATAACTGTTAGAAAACAAAAAGGCCCAGAAAACACACAGTCATCTATTAGCATGCTTTCTACATGGATGAGCTTCATCCTTTAGTCCAATGGGATCACCTGATGTCTGTTCCATGTTAGTAAGAGTGGCTCACACCACAGGATGCTGCACAGATACGAGAGGCTGAGGATTATCATGGTCTCCAGAGCTGCCAGGCATAAGGCCAAGCTTTACTCTGGAATAAATGGATGATGCCCGGGAGTGTAAAGTAACTACCTTCTGAGAAATCACTGCTTTTAGACAATGAAATTCAGCATAAAGCAACTTTCAACAGTACAGAATAACCTTGTAATAGGCTATATTATTGATCTCATGATGAAAGCTAATATATTAATTTTATTTCCATTACATTCCCAATTCTTTGAAAATAGCATAAAAAGGAGATTAAATTTTACATAGCAAGGGAATAAGGATAATTCTTAAGCTTCAAAGATCAGATCTGTAATTTAAACCAGCTCAATATAAAAACCTTCCTTCATACAATAAAGTCTTTTGTAAATCCTTGGTATTATCAAGTTCCTATGGATTTGAAATTTAACACTCAAGGATGTAAGTATTATACACAATGTACTACAAACAAACTGAGAAAAATAAAAACAAAATGCATGTCTACAAACATACAAAGTAAAAACCTTTACTTCAAAATCTTGAAATAAAAATTAATTTATATAGTAATGGAGTCCTGGTGTGGCGCTGTGGGTTAATGTGTTGGACTGCAATATCATTTTGAACCACAAGGTCTGCGGTTCAAGCTCGCCAGCTGCTCCTTAGAAACCCTATCCAGGGTCACTACGGGTTGGAACCAAGTCGATAGCACTTAACAACAACAAAAAGAACCAAACCCTGTAAGAAAGTCAACATCTTAATAATAACATATAAGCTAACACTTATATAAAACATTACTAGGTGCCAGGATCTAAGCACTATTATCTCACATAATTCTCAAAGCAACCTTATGAAGTAGGTATTACTATTACACCCATTGTTCCAGATGAATGGATGAAGGCTGGAATTTGCCTAAAATCAATCAATTGGAGCTGATAGTCGAACATCTGGCTCTGGAATCTGTGCTCCTAAGTACAATACTACAATGCTGCTCAATTGTTGTCGTTAGGTGCCATGGAGTTGGTTCTGACTCATAGCGACCCTAAAGATTTCCGAGGCTACAAATCTTTACGAGAACAGAAAGCCTCATCTTTCTCCCGCGGAACAGCTGGTAGTTTCGAACTGCTGACCTTGCGGTTGACAGCCTGATTCATAACCACTACACTACCAGAAATGCACTCCTTTCTACCCTTAATCATCTCAGGATAAGGACTATCCTTGGATCTCTGTACATCTAAATTTCCAATGTATTCGTTCCTTTCAACCTATTAAACTACCCTTAGTTTTAAGACAATTGATTTTTTTTTACTCCCCAAGCCCACCCTCTAGTACTTGGCCCTATTGGGAATGAATTTTTAATTAGTCTCTGCTTGGTATACTAACCACAAATGTATGAAATAATTGATTAAATCTTGTTTATTAATTTTTTTTTTAAATTTTAAAAAGGAGCTAAATATTTTCCTTAGCTTCTTTACTACGTTCTTATCAAGTCTTCAAAGACGTGCTCAGACGTACTGCGGATGCTGATAACCAGAGCATCAGAGCATGTTGCCAATTCTTTGCCATCTAGCATATGCATGCTGGAGAGTGGATGAGGGTGGTGGTAGCAGTGGAATTATGGGAGTAACTATACATTTTATTTCTAGAAACATTTCAGGTATGGAAATATCATATTAAAACCGTAATAATCCAAATATGTAAATGTCAAAAGTTTATTTTAAAAAACAAACAAACAGGCTATACAAACAGACAACTGGAAACCATATATGAATCAATTTCCAAAACATACAAAAGAAAAAGTCTCACCTATAAAATTATTTACATGTTTCGGGACCCATAATAAAACATGGTCTCACAAAATCAGTCAAGACACAGAGAAAAGTCTATGGTAACATACTTGGGAAGAAAATAGATGGGGTACTTACCAGTTATGAAATAAGATAAACAAGGAAGTACTAGACAGTAAATGAAGGCCACAGAGGTTTTAAGACTGATGATATGAAATGTAAGAAACAAAATCAAACTGTCTTCCATTGGGACATGCCAGTGACCTTAAGTCAGTGACCATAATCACAGTGTTTCCAAATGGCCCTTCATTTAGGGACAGAGTAATGTGCAGAGAGGGCAGATTTTACACCTGCCCTGTCACTTATATGAGTATAATCATAATGTTATCTTATAAAGACAGTTACCTTTAAACTCTTAAAAACATATAACAAGTTTCCTGAAACACAAAACGAAACAACTCAGATTCATCAAAGATGACTAACAAGCCCCTTACTTTCCTCAGACCGCTTCTTTTCTTCACTCCTGCTTAAATGCAAAAGCTGACAGTTTCTGATTCGTAGAAATATCTAAAGGTTTTTGCTTTTTAGGCAAATTCAGATTCTTCTTTGCTTCTTCTTTCTGGTTTTCTGTTTCACTGTTTTCACTGACTACACGTTTTCGCTTTTTTGCTTCAGCTTCGTCACTGGCAGGTCCTCCTTTGGCCTTGTCGGTCCATGCCTTTGTGAAAATGTTGAGGTGAGGAGAGAGATTTTACGCAATAACAGAAGTAAGTAGAAAGGAAATGACTTATTTTTTCAGCTAACATTCTTGTATAAAACTCAGAATAATTAGCCCTTGAATTGTTAAATTAATCATTAAGGGTTCTCACTGCTAGCCAATCTTTTATTACTTAACTGAAGAGCACATTAAAATATTTACATTCTATCTTTATAATATTTCAGTCAAAGCACTGCTTGTGTTTACCAGATTAAGTTATAAAGTACTTTGTTGTTGCTGAGTCCCGTCAAGTCGATAGTGACCCTGTAGACGGTTTCTGAGACTTTTGAGGGAGCAGAAAGCCTCATCTTTCTCCCTTGGAGCAGTGGGCAAACAGATAATTTTTTTATATATGAAAATCTTTATTTTGAGGTAATTTCAGATTTATATGCTGCTGTAGTAAATGATACAGAAATATCCCATGCACCCTTTACCCAGTCTTGCCCAGTGGTAACATCTTGTAAATCCACAATACAGTATCAGTCAGGACACTGCTATCAATACAATCCATGGATCTTATTCAGAGTCCCCCAGATTTATTTCTACTCATTTGTGTGTATGTTTCTGTGTATATTTAGTGCTACTGTAGGTCTGTGTACTTATGACCACAATCAAGATACAAAATAGTCCACGACCACAAGGATACATCGTATGTTGTTCTTTTTTATAACCACCCCTGACCCTGGAGGCACCCCTGCCAACCACTCACTCATCTGTTCCCCAACACTATCATTTTGTCATTTCAGGAAAATAATATAAATGAATCACATAGTATATATTCTTTTAGGATTGGCTTTTATTTACTCAACAAGAGCCAAAGTTCACTCATTTCGGCTGCCTCTCAAATCTCCTTTAATCTATAATAGTTTCTCCTCCTACTTTGTTTCCCTTGACATTTATTTATTGCAGAAGAGAAGTTCCACATTAACAGATAAGAGCTCAGCAAATGTCTAAGGTTTGCATTTTTAAGTTTTCAAAACTTTTGCCTAATCTCTTCCTTTTTTGTAGCATAAGATCTTATTCAGATACCATTTTATCTCATTCTTTTTCTAATTTTGATCCTTTTATAAATACTTATGAAGAAGGAAAAACACAGTTGTAAATGAGCTCTAAATGATCCAAAGGTGGTGTGGCCAGTTTTAGCTTCCTCATTATGTCATTAACTTTATTCCTAAGAGCTAGTTTATCAAAACAAGTATCTGAGTCACTTGGGTCCAAGCAGACCAGTGGCAGCCTGGGGAAATGAAGTCTGAGGGTCCCCTTACAACAGAAGGCTGCTGTGGAGGGTCTTCACAAGGCAAAAAAAGTCACAAGAGGAACAACAGGCACAAGTCACTGTTCTAATCAAAAGGTTGGTGGTTCAAACCAACCTGTGGTCTAGTGTTTATCCTACAGCACCACACCAAGATTCTTATAAAGAGCCATTATGTGTTGGAATCAACTCACTGGCAGTGGGTTTGGTTTTGGGGGTTTTGGTGTAAGTAGACAGCAGTTTAAAACATTTTGCTTTTAAGGATTCTAAAGTAGAACTCTAAAAATGTAAGTTAATTTTATCAATACTCATTATATGTACTAACTTTTGATTTATAACTAATAAAGCTTTTATGGGGAGTCTTCAGATGTCAGCACAATGGTCCTTACCTTCCTTTCTTCAGCAGACAACACTCTAAATCGAAGCATTCCTTCTTTTATTATGTCTGCCTCATCTGAAAATCCAGGATTGTCAGACAATATATTGCTTCTGTTTTCTTCCAGCCACATCTGGAACCCAGTCTTTGGCCTAAAATAGTAATTAAAGGGGAAAACTTTATACTTAAGACATCATTTTAAATGATTTTTCAAGTCAGTAATTAATAATTTTTATATAACTATATAAAGATTAACAGCCTCGGAAACCCAATGCAGGGTCGCTATGAGTTGGAACCGACTCCACGGCACATAACAACAACAACAACAATATAAAATATAAGGAGCTCTGGTAGTGTAGTGGTTACAAATTGGGCTGTGAACCACAAGGTCAGCAGTTCTAAACTACTAGCTGTTCCGTGGGAGAAAGATGAGGCGTTCTGCTCCCATAAAGATTTATAGCCTCGGAAACCTTGTACAGGGTCATTATGAGTCAGAACCGACTCCACGGCACCTAACAACAACATATGAAATATTGTTGCTGATGTACAATGCCGTTGAGTTAGCTCCAATTCTTAGCAACCCTGTACAGATTTCTGAGAAGGAGCTAATGGGTTCGAGTCATCAACCTTGTGGTTAGCAGTTCAGTGCTTATCCTACAGTACCACACCATTTTATTTATGTAATGTATTCATATTACATCCACTCCTCACTTATCAACATGGTTAGGTTCCAAAGACTAGGTTGTCATGCAAAAATTAGTGGTATGCAAAAACAAAGAATGACCATATCAGACTATGAAATCACACAACTGCCAATTGATCTCATTACAGAACTGACAAAGCACTGAGAATCATGAGTCAGTCAAGCTGACACATAACCTTAACCACCACAGTCAGCATTACTCTTACTACAGGATTCATTACTGCCAGACATACATCGTTAATGAGCAAAATAGTTAGATAGTAGATTTCTCACTATTGTCATAAGTGCCAAATGCTAGATAACAAGACAGCTGATAAGGGAAGAGAAGGGGAGTACTGGTGTGGCACTGTAGGATACGCATTGGACTGCTAATCACAAAACGATTCAAACCCATTTGCCGATCCTCAGAAACCCTATAGAATGTCGCTATGAACCAGAACCAACTCTACAGCACACAACAAGAAGTGAACTTAAAATTGCCTGGAGACAGCAGGATCCATTCAAAAGGATTACCCACATTAGTGTTTTCCCCAGGTAGTAACCATGCACGCTGCCCTAAATGTGGACAGGCTGAGGATCTGTAACATCATTTGGCCCCGCTGGTTCAGTAAAGTCCTTCCAAGTGTTCTTGTGAGGTGCCATGGAGTGGGTTCTGACTCAGAGTGACCCATGCACAACAAAACAGTGCCCGGTCCTGAGTCATCCTAGCAATTCTCCTGTTTAAGCCCACTGCTGCTGCCACTGTGTCAACCCATTTCTGAGAGTCTTCCTCTTTACAAAGCACGATGTTCTTCTCCAGGGACTGATCCCTCCTGAGAATATGTCCAAAGAATGAGAGCTGAAGCCTCACCACCCTAGCTTCTAAGGAGCATTCTGGCTGTACTTCATTCAAAACAGATGTTTGTTCTTCACTAATCTTCTTCAGTCTCTCTTATTCACTGTTCACTTTCATGTGTGTCTCTGTTTCCCAAACCAGCTATTTGGAACCTGATAGATCTTCTTACCCATCACTTCACCTCTCACAGATAACCTGTGAGTACGAGTCTTTCCAGTATCACTATTACATGAAGCACCGACATAGCATGTCTACAAATTTTATTCAATTTCATTTTTGACACAGATTGTCTTTAAATGCAAGAGAAAATTTCATGTAAATCCTTAGCACATACTGTGCAGTTAGCTTTAAACTCTACATGTATCCTAATTTAATGTGCAACAACCCTCTGAGGTATGTACAATTAGTAGCTCTACTCCATAGATGAGAAAATTGAGGGTCAGACAGAAGAAATAACTAACTCAATACCACATAGAAAGAACCAGACCTGGGATCCAACAGCCAGGTAATTTGATTCCAGAGCCCCAGACTGACCCACCAGTTATGTTGCTTCTTATTACACTGTGGCTGAGGTGACCTTCAATAACTTGTCTACATCCACACAAGAACTATATGGTGTATACACCAGAGGAAAATGGTTATGATAATATTTTGAAGGTATAAAATTATATCTCAATTCTAAACAGTGCCTCCATACAGTAAGCACTGGACTGCAAACCACAAGGTCCGCAGTTAGAGGCCACCAGTCACTCCACCAGAGAAGGATGAGGTTTTCGGCTCCTGCAAAGATTTAAAGCCTTGGAAACCCTAAACAGGGTCACTGTCAGAACCGACTCAATGGCACTTAACAGCAACAATAACAACATAAGCGTCATTAAGTAATAATCTTAAATACATTGAAAAGGATTAGAAAGAGAATTCTACCTGTAAGTGATTTTTGTCTTTATAATTTTAAGGCGTTTTCTAATTTTCTACTAGAAACAATATTTGCGTATGTGAGAATTGACATGCATATAGACTTATTCACAGATGTACTAGCAAAAGACCAGCAACTAACTTGTTCTTTTTTTATGGCAACCAACTTTGCTCATGGTAGAGAAGTAAATCAATTATGGTATCTACAATGGATATAGTACGTCCACTGTATGGAGTCCTGGTGTGGCACTGTAGCATAAACACTGGACCACAGGTCAGTTTGAATTGCAAAGTTGGCAGTTCAAATCCACCAGCTGCTCCTTGGAAACCCTGTATAAGGTCCCTCTAAGTTGGAACCCACTTGATGGCACTTAATAACAACGAAAAGCCCATTGTATGCAATGTAAAAAGATTTAAAAAGTTCTTTATGTAATAATATGAAATAATCTGCAAAATCTACTAAATTAGAAATGAAAAAGGCTATAGAACAATATATCCTGATGTAGCATGGTAGGCTAAGCACTAGCCACAAGGTCAATGGTTCAAACCTATCAGCTTCTCCTTGGAAACCCTATATAGGGTCCCTATGAGTTACATGAAACTTCAAAGAAAAAAAAAAGGATAGAATAACAAACAGATATATTTGTTTGTGTATGTTTAGAATAATTCTGGACAAATATACAAGGGTAAGTCAAAAAGTATTGCTACCAGGGTTCCAATTCACACACATGGATTTATTTCAAACAAAGCATATTTAAACATGTCTCTGTGATTGATCAGTGGATGGCTGCAGATGAGTTCGCTCAGTAACACACTTGTCTCATTAGGGTGCCTTCAAAAACAGTCCATTCAAAACAGTGGCTTCTGAGGGGATCTTCTGGGTCAGTTAAATTCAAAGCATAAAGGTTAGCTTAGAAAGTTATAGTGACTGTTTACTTTGGGATTTCTAAGGGATAATCATGATAGAGTTTCTCAAGGGACAGAGGATGACCCTGGGGCCTTAGAAGAAAGAAGTCTTAAGAAAAGTGAAAACCGAACTGGTGTGAAAAAGGTCAGGGATCTTTTTCTCCATTGTGACAAGTTCATATATTTAAGGGTAGCATGGCTGTCCTAGGGGGAAACCTTACCCCATTCACCATATAACCCTGGTCTTGCCTCCTCACAGACCTTTATTTGTTCTACAAACTCAAAGAACATTAAAAAGGAACACAACTTATTCAAAGAAAATTTTAAAACGAACAAAACTCGAAGCTACCAAGACATTCATTTGACATGGTATAAAACAAAAAGGGGGGACTTGGTGTGGCGCTGTAGGGTATGGACTGGACTGCAAACTGCAAGGTAAGGGGTTCAAATCCATCTGTCACTCTTCAGAAACACTGTAGGGTCAGAACCCAATGGATGGCTCTAAACAACAAAATCAAAGAGCTAAGAATTCTTTGGGGGAGAGTCAGAGAGATGGAAACTCCATCTTCAGAAGAATATAGACCTAGATGGAGTACATGTCTAGAAACAACAGCTTCACATTTTGGTATTTTTATTTAATAAAGGTTTCTCTGATTTTATAGCAATACTTTTTGATTTATCCTTGTGTAAAAATTTGTTATACCACTTGTCTATCAATTTGTTGAACTGTGGTTGGTGGCTCTCATGCTGCTGTGATTCTGGAATCTATGCCACCAGTATTTTAAATACATGCACAAGTTTAAGCTGAGCTTCCCAACTAAGACAGACTAGGAACAAGGAGAGACGGACAACTTCTGAACATTTAGGCACTGAAGATCTTACGAATATCAGTGGAATACTGTCAGATATCACCAGAATATTGAATATCGAAACATGATGAAGACCAGAATATTGTTAGATATAGTGCTGGAAGATGAGGCCCTCAGGTTGGAAGGTACTCAAAATATGACTGGG